GCAGGTCCAGTCCCTTCCTCCCAGACTGAGTCAAGTGTCCCTGCATAAGCTCCAGGTTTCAAACAGCCAACTCATGCAATGAGCACAGGACTTGGTTATGTTCTGTTTTTTGTTTGTGTTGGTTTTGTTTTAAGTGAAGCTATTATTAGCAGGTGTTACAGGAGGGCACAGCCCTCTGAGTAAATAGCCTCCATCTTCATCAGATAGGCAGGATCTGCTTGCAGAAGACCATTCCCAGCAGGACGGTTGTTGGACTTTCCCTAAGAGAAGGAATGAGGAGAGAGGGTCATAAGATCCTCCCTTAGATTCCAGCCACTCCTCCCTACCATTTGTATGGAATTTTGTCCCAAATGCAGGCATGCGCCTGAGGTGCTAGACAGTATAGATGGGGGAGGAGGGAGGCTAACTGGTGGGAACTCTGTCCAAGCTGAGTGGAGACTTTCTAGGCTCTGGAGGTCACTCATGCTTCCAAAAGCAACCCTTCACCCATGCCTGTAAGACAGCTCAATAAACTTATCAACACTCCAGGGCAAGCAAGCTTTGGAGGACTTCTTCATGAATTTGTCATTGGAACCTTAAAAGGAGAGGGTAGGCATTTATACTTCCCTAGGAACAAACCCATATGTAACAACAACAACAACAACAACAACAAAACCACTAAGAAATAGAATAAAAAAATTTAAATGCTTAGAAGTAAACAGAGAAGGTAAAACTGAGTTGGTTAAAATAGTTCAAATGGGTTGGGCTTGGTGGCGCACCCCTTTAATCCCAGCTCTGGAAAGGCAGAGGCAGGCGGACCTCTGTGAGTTTGAGGCCACATAATTGTCTACATAGCAAGGTTCAGGCCACCTAGGGCTACATAGTAAGACCCTGCCTCAAATAAAATTACTAATGAGGTCAAAAAGATAGTTCTGTAGATGAAAAGGACGTCCAGTACAAGCCTGACCGCTTGAGTTAGACAGAGTAAGATGTAGTGACACACACCAGTGACCACAGCACTGCTATGTCAAGACAGGAGGTGGAGGCAGGGGACTCTCCCTGAAGCTCAGCCAGCCAGCCTGGAGTACGGATGGTAATGCCAGAGCAAGACCCTACCTCAACAAAGTGGGAAGTGAGGACCAATTCCTGAAAGTTATCCTCTGACTGCCACATGAGTGCAAATGCCCCTACTCACACACAGAAAACACACACACACACACACACACACACACACACACACACACACACACACTAAAAATAAATTTTTAAAAAATAAGTAGTTCAAATGAAGCTAAGAATAGTGGCTGATACATATAATCCTAACACTAAGGTTCCTCACAGAATTATTCACAATAGCAAAGGCAGGAGCTTCCAAAATGTGAAATAGTCATATGCTATTTTATTATTTATATGCTACTTAGTCATATGCAATATTGTTCAGTCTTAAAACGAAAGGACAGGCTGGGCATAATGGCTCATGCATTTAATCCTGGCACTTGGGAAGCAGAAGCAGGTGAATCTCTGTAAGTTTGAAGCCAGTGTGGTCTACAGAGTGAGTTCCAGGACAGCCAGGACATCTCTGTAGAGAGATGCTGTCTCAAAAAAAGAAGAAAACAAAAGAAAAAGAAAAGAAAGGACATTCTGACACATTCTAAAGGGCTAGAGAACTGCTACCAGAAACAAGGCGGACATAAAGGGAGAATACTGCATGAAAAGCCAAAGACGAGGAGTGGACCCCATCTCCACCCCGGGTTGCCTGCTTAAAGACATGAAGATCAAATCCCAGGAGGAAATCCACCTGTTCTTCCTGCCCATCAAGGAGTCTGAGGTTAT